ATGTTGGCAGTGTAGTGGACGTCTGTTGAAAATTTATAAAAATTTATAGTGTGGTTCTCAGCATAAACAGGAATTTATGGCACTGATGTGATAGAGGTGGTATTCTTAGAATTATTCACAATGATAACTATTGTTTGATATGTGTGATTTCATTGAAATCACGATATGTAACACACAGTCTTGAGGATGATTAGTATTTTGTTTTTGAGGATTTTAACTTAAAGAAGCTTCCTTTATCGTGTCATAACCAATAGACGTTTTTGAAAACAATATTCTGACTTCCCTGAATGTAAACTTTACACTGATACTTTTTTATGTAGCATATTTTCTTGAGTATATTGAACACTTTTCTTTCTTTTTTTAATTTTTTTTTTTTTATAGAAATGGGCTCCGTCCTTAAGTCCGTCTGTCACGTTTCGTTTCCAGAGCATAACTCATAAACCGCTCAATATTTTTTCATGAAACTTTGCAGGTTTGTCAGGTACATGCTGAACTGGTGCCTTTTGCTATTGAGAAATTTGAGAAATTTTTATTTTTACGTTTCCATGGCAACAAGATGGACTTAGGTTCAAAACTCTTCTTTTTTTTTACAATTTCCATGACAAGTTCCACCTCGGTTAAAAAAGGTTAGGGTTTGTTTAGATTTAATTATGTCATAAATTCTGCAACAGGGGCTGGGGATATAGCCACATCAGTGGCAAACTCTTGTTTTCCTTTCGATTCCCGACATGGGTACAATGTGTGAAGCCCATTTCTGGTGTCCCCCCGCCGTGATATTGCTGGAATATTGCTAAAAGCGGCGTAAAGCCATACTCACTCACTCACTCACTCTTGTTTTCCTAAAACACAGCTGGGCAGAAGAGGGTGTGCATTATACACACCATAATGAGTTTTGATGGGTTTTTTCCCCAACGCAAAGACATTACCATGAGCACGTAACACCGGAAATACCATGTCACCAAATCCTTACTGAAGTACACAAATTAATCATGTAATTATCTATCTATATTTGTCACTTATTTCATTAATTTTATTTAAATTTCTTTTAATATTGTTTTAATTAATTTTGGCAAAATCTTGTGTGAAGCGATCGGAAGATCGCACAACTCAACCTTATTAACAGCAACCACAGGCAGATTACTGCCTTTGACGCCTTGATACAAACTTTAATTAACAGAGAATGAACACATATATCATAAATGCCATACTTTGACTCATTAAAAGACATATATGTTGTAGTTTGAAGATTCTATGTCAACATGTAGTTCTCGCGATCACATGTGCGGGAGCCTCGACAGTGACTAGTCAAATTGTTACATGTGAAAAAAATAACCGGCAATAGCGATCAGCTGCACCAAAGTGCTACGCTTAGGGTTATTATTATTTTGAATATATTTAGTAAAAGCTGCAACTAAAATAACAAGATGTTGGAATATATTAATACAATTTTTTGCGATCCTTGCATCAAAATCCTATTATGTAATATTATTGGGTAAGTTTTAACCGAAACAGTGGTAGATTCCAAGAAAACATGTGTACAGCTGATTGCTGTTTCCGGCTTAGTTTATGAGAATATACACAAGGTAATCTTAGTCCCTGGATGTAAAACAATGCCTAGCAGAACAAAAAATACAATTCAAACGGTAAATAATTTATTTATTTACTTATCCTGCTTTACTCCTTAATGCATATTACTTGCTTGTTCTTGACAGAGAAAAGAGCTGTGTGAGAGGTCTTTGCTTGAAGAAGTTGTTCCAACCAGCTGAGAGGCCAACCCTATCACGCAGCTCCCGCGTGACCAAAGGAAGTGACATCACGGATCCTCACATTACTGTTGTCTTTTGTTTTTGCTGTAGCATAAGCTGATTCAATCCCTCACGTGTTTGCTCTTTGAGTTAATGTTTTTTGTCTTTGTGTTGTGCCTACGGTTTGTATTTTGTACATTCTATGTTTGATAAACATGTAGCATAACGTTACTAGACACTTACTGACATGTTCTCAAAAGAAAACATAATGCCAGGTGTCTTGCATTGTTTGTTTTGTTGTATGTTGTCTTACGTTTGTCGTAATATTTGTGGGATAAATAATTTATAGCATACATAATCGGGTGGGGACACAATGTGATTTTACACTGCTTCATTGCAGATATCATGTCCTCCTGCTCAAAGTGCCAGCGTAATATGTCCGCGTGGGATCCCCACCCCCTGTGCCTCAATTTTACATCTCAATGCCTCCAGGGTCAAGGATGTAAAGACTGTTTACTGCTTTCACCCACAGCATTCACTCAGTATCTCCCGTGTTCCTGAGAAACTCAGAACACAGCAGGCTAGGAAACACCGGCGCAGGATGTCAGACCTCTCCGAGAATTCCCCCACAAGATCGGCCATCTCGGATGACTACCCCCCCCCCCCCCCCCGACTTCAACTACTACCTTGATGTTGGACCCCACGGTCTCTGTCTCCACCCAGAGCACTCTGACGACAACTACAGCGTCTGTTTTTATGGCGGCGGCCACCTTGAGGCCTGGTGTGGCACTCACTTACCAGACGGCGCCTATACTATCCTCTTGACAGATGCTCGGTCTCCCACAGGCGCCCCCGCCTACGGCACAGATGCCCATGATAGACGCCTCTCTCCATCAATACATTCAGTACTTACAGGCCAGACAGCCGTCGACGCTTCTACTAGCGCCTCCTCTTCATGTGCTCTTTCAGACGACACCTATATATCCTCCAGTGCCTATACAGATGCCGGCGCCTCTGCCTCCACCTCGGCAGCCGACCACACAGACATCATCTACCTCTCGTCACTCCATGGACTAGGCTTCCCCAAGTATGTCTTCACGTCGGAGTGACAGCAGATCTTATCATCAGGATCATATATCAAGGAGCTGCTCCCCGGTTTGCAGATGCTCCAGTGGCTATCAGTCCGACTCCTCGGGGGTTGCCTTCATCCCTTGGACGGTAAGTCCAACCTGGGTTTAGACCAAGTCGCAGACTGACTGGAGGCAATCGCTCCCTCGCCCGGCCTTAAGGTCGATAACAAGACAGCCAAACCGCTCCACCTCAGTCCGAGTTTCAAACAACAAACTCGCCTACGTGGAAACCAAGACTCGCCACACGCTCAAACCTCTCTCACTGATGGCGTTGTCCTCCAGAGCCATAGTGCAGGACTTATCGGAGGATAACCCCTTTTGGATTGACCACCTAACAACGGTTGTATCCTACCTCCAACAACAAGTGGAACAGATGCGCTGTCATATGTGCGCTGCTCTGATCAAGCTCACTACCACCAGACGCCTTGGGTACCTTGCCTTGTCGAACTGGGACCCAGAGTATTAAGCGTCAACCTTGGTCCGGCTCTGACCTCTTTAATGGACAGATATCCAAGACACACTCCCGGGTCTCAGCCTTCAACCGTGATGAGACAGCTCTCAAGGCCCTAGCCAGGGTGTCACAGCTAAGGTGTCCCAGTCTGGCTCCTACCAGCCACGACGCAACACCCTCCAGACTCGGGGGCTGGGCTCCACCTCAACCTCTCGGGGCAGAGGCAAGGGGAAAGGAAAGTCCTCGGGCACATACCAGTCCCGCCAGACAGGCTCGACTGGGACCTCCCTCCCCCAGCTGCTCAAGTTGTCGACACCCAACTAGGTGGGAGACTGAGTCGCTTCTGGCAGAATTGGGAGATCCTGGGGGACCCGTATGTCACCAACATCATCCGACATGGGTACAACCTGGCGCTTATAGACGACCCGCCACTCACGCTGTCTCCCACGTCTCTCTCTACACGCCATCATGAAGGGGTGTTTCTGGCAATCCAACACAGTCTTTGCCAGTCACTACCTGCGAGATGTCGCATTGGAGGATGTGCAATAGTCCCTTAGTAGTGGCCCAACAGGTCACCACTACTACACGTCACTGACCTTGCCTCCAAGTCCAGAGCCGGCCTTTCAACCTCCCCAGGCGTATGCCCTGGACTAGAAGGTTCATGCCCCACTTGCATACGGCTCGGTGCTCCAGTCTCGACCTAACCGACAGTTACTGTCAGGCTGCATAGTACCAGGACACAACACATACCTGACTCTTCCTTTCCATGTAATGTAAGGGAAGGCTGGCCATTCAGCCGAAGACAGGCTGAGGGAAACAGAGTTTTTCCCATACATGGAGTGGTCACCTGATGCCGACCACACAGCTGAGGACCAGCTGAGGGAATTGAAGGTTCCCGTACATGGAGGGGTCACCCGATGCCGACCACATAGCCAAGGCTCGCTAGTCTGGAAATAAAAGATGAAAGCCCACATCTTAAGGTATGCCCTCCACCGATTCCGTCCAATAAAGATGCATTAAGGAGTAATGCAGGATAAGTTAAAAATCTAGTAAAATCCTAGATATTTTTTATATTTGTATACTTATCCTGCATTACTGCATCTAAAGGGACCCACCCATTGCAGATCTACCTCCCTACGATGCCTTCCGATGTTTTGGACTCCAGAATAATGTGAGGATCCGTGATGTCACTTCCTTTGGTCACGTGGGAGCTACGTGATAGGGTTGCCCTCTCAGCTGGTTGGAACAACTTCTTCAAGCAAAGACCTCTCACACAGCTCTTTTCTCTGTCAAGAACAAACAAATAATATGCATTAAGGAGTAATGCAGGATAAGTATACAAATATAAAAAAATGTCTAGGAGTTTACTAGGTCTGGTGATTTATCTCAAATTTGTACTGACCTAGGTTCTTATCGACCGTTCGTTTACCAGAATTCGCTGAAGGGGTACGGTGTAATTTCTTTCTGTGCATAATGTTCGATCATTTTTTTTCTCCAAAATACTGAATCCGCTAGACGTGGGGTGCACATTATACTCAAGAAAATACGGTAATGACATCAACCGAGATCACATTTTGTTTTTTGTCTTCTGTATCTTGACCATTTAGATTGTAACTGTGGCATTTGTCTTATTCCCCTGAATACTGTGTTATACTTGTTAGTGTTGTTTTCCAGAATGCTGCAGGATGATCCGGAGTTGTTTCAGCTGTACAAGGACCTGGTGGTCAGTCAGGTGATCTCGGCCGAGGAGTTCTGGGCATCACGTGCTCACGTATGTATCTCTCATGCAGATACTGGGGAGTTGTTGATGTGTGGTAGAGATGGGGACCCTAGTGCCTCACTTCCTGTTTGTTGGGAGTGAGTATTTGACTTCATTGATTACCATTTCTATCATTCTATTATTCTCATTTGTAGAAATTTACAAACAATACAAGCAAGCCAGAGACTAAGCAAGTTGTTGGAATTTCTCCTGCGTTCTTGGTAAGTTAGCTTAAACCAGTCTTCTTGTTAATGCTTGGTCATGAATGTTTTATAATTGAGAAAGACCAGTTTGGCTCATTATAGGCAAGTAAGACGGTCAACATCCTAGCCTGAGCTAGCCTGACAACATTTTACTGATGAAAGTTGTTTCATGAAATGCAGGCAGATATCAAGCCTCAAACGGACGGCTGCAATGGTCTCAAGTACAACCTCAATGCTGATATCATCGAGTCTATCTTCAGGACATATCCCATGGGTGAGTCGACTTCTTAATATGAGGCAATTCATGGAGAGTGGGATTTTGAAAGGAAGAAACAGTCATGTCTTTGAAGTGAATCGTCAACTGGCAACTTGTCTTGGCCTAATTATTGAAATACTGTACGAGGACGTGTATTTTGTCTGCAATTTGTTTTATCTTATCCTGCATTACTATCTTAATGCTTTTACTGCTGTCAGAGCTGTGAGAGGTCCTGGCTGCAGGAGTTGTTGTTGCTTACGACCCGCCTAGAGCCAAAAACAACCCATGAGATTCAAGCCGTCGCTCTTGACGATGTGCAAGGTGTGCCTAGTTTCCCTTCCCTGGTGGTGGCGCACAGCAGGTGGTCTTTCCCACCGCGGAACTGACCCTGCAACCTCCCTGGTAGAAAATACCCCAGACTAGAATGTTTCATAATTCTGTTTATTCCAGCTGCTTGAATTGGAATTTAGAACTTGGCCCATGCTACTTTTCCTTTTTGCATGACTGGATTTCACACCTCCTACTCTGCCTTGTGTGGCTCTATCGGACAGGAAGGTCTGTGTTTTCCGGTGTTTTCCGCTCAGGATGCTGTCAGGTTACCCAGACTGGTTGGAGGGTCTGTTCTGAAATTCCATCTGAAGGTTTGCCCCCTCCGTTCTGTCTGATAAAAATGCATTAAGGTAGTAATACAGGATAATATAACAAATTTAGTAAAATCTAAACATGTTTTATATTTGGAAACTTATCCTCCATTACAGCGTTTAAAGTGCTTCCCCATCGTTTTGCTACCTCCCTGCGTAGTGTCAGATGTCCAATACACTTCACCACTTCCAGTCACGTAGTAGCTGTGGGAGGGCATATGCCACTCAACTGGTTGGTACAACAACTTCTGTAGCAAGGACCCCCATATTGCTGGAATATTGCTAAAAGTGGCGTAAAACCATACTCACTCACCCACTGTAGCAAGGACCCCCATATTGCTGGAATATTGCTAAAAGTGGCGTAAAACCATACTCACTCACCCACTGTAGCAAGGACCCCATATTGCTGGAATATTGCTAAAAGTGGCGTAAAACCATACTCACTCACCCACAGTAGCAAGGACCCCCATATTGCTGGAATATTGCTAAAAGTGGCGTAAAACCATACTCACTCACCCACTGTAGCAAGGACCCCCATATTGCTGGAATATTGCTAAAAGTGGTGTAAAACCATACTCACTCACCCACTGTAGCAAGGACCCCCATATTGCTGGAATATTGCTAAAAGTGGCGTAAAACCATACTCACTCACCCACTGTAGCAAGGACCCCCATATTGCTGGAATATTGCTAAAAGTGGCGTAAAACCATACTCACTCACCCACTGTAGCAAGGACCCCCATATTGCTGGAATATTGCTAAAAGTGGCGTAAAACTATACTCACTCACCCACTGTAGCAAGGACCCCCATATTGCTGGAATATTGCTCAAAGTGGCGTAAAACCATACTCACTCACCCACTGTAGCAAGGACCCCCATATTGCTGGAATATTGCTAAAAGTGGTGTAAAACCATACTCACTCACCCACTGTAGCAAGGACCCCCATATTGCTGGAATATTGCTAAAAGTGGTGTAAAACCATACTCACTCACCCACTGTAGCAAGGACCTTTCTGCAGCTCAGTCTTCCTAGTCAAGAACAGCAGTAAAATCATAAATGTTGTAATGAAGGATAAGTATCCAAATGTATAAAATATTTAAATTTTACTAACTTCGTAGTAATATAAGTTGATTGGCTGTGATATAATGTGGTACTGCTGGCTTTGCATCACTCACTCTCTCTATGAAGGAGCATCTGCCCGGAGAGTGGAAGGTCAGTGGTTCGAATTCCCGGTTGTGTCATACCAAAGTCGTTAAAAGATGGTACTTGTTGTTACCCTGCCTATCATTTGGCATTAAGGGGATAAAACATGGACTGGTCAGCTCAAGATCAGAGGATACCAGTGATGTTGACACATAAACCTGTGTTTAGGTCAATGACTTGGACCCAAGAAATGTAATAAGTCAATGGCAAAAGTCAATAAGTCAGATAAACAAAATTGGCAGACGAAGCATAACCACAAATCAATGCAATTGATTGGATGAATATATATGATCTGACCAATGAAGATTGCAATAGGAAAAGCATTTGACTAAGTCACTATAGCTCCTGAGAGTGTTTCCCTATGATACAGAAAGTATGATGCAAAGACATGCTGCTCCGAATTTCAATTATGATTTTTAATGGCGGTGCATTGTTTTGTTTAATCGATATTGTAAGTAGGACTTATCCTTACTATTTACTTATCCACCTCTACTCACCTCACCTCACCTCACCTCACCGTAAAGCCGTCCCTCACCATAGGATTGCAATATTGCTAAAAATTGCATAATTAAATTATCTTTATGGTTGTTCAGTGGTATGCTTAGTGGTATGCTGGGTTAGAGTCCCTCCATGGGGACTGTCTGTGCAGTTGATGGGCTGCCAGTCACCTTGTGCCTCTCCTATCAGCTGAAACAGTGAATTGAATGATTGTCTGAGTAGTGAGGTATTCTTGTTCCAGTGAAGAGGAAGCATGCTGAGTATGTGCCCCACAGGATGACTGAAAGTGAGTTCTGGACCAGGTTTTTCCAGTCGCACTACTTCCACCGAGATCGTACGCACACTGGCACGAAGGACCTGTTCTCTGAATGTGCCAAGAATGATGATGAAGGTAAGCGTGGAGTTGTAGTTATCCATTCCTCCATCAGTTGGAAAAATACTTGTCTCTGGTTGGTCAATCAGAGATTTCAAATCACAATTACCACCTCTAATTGAAACAGCTGACTTTATGGCTGCATCACCTCGGAAGCTTTGGCTTACTAACTGCATAGTTTTGGGTACTGTGTATTCAAATTGTGTTTGAGGGCCAGTAAGGTACCCTAGTGGTTAAGGCGTTCGCTTGTCAAGCCAAAGACCTGGGTTTGAATCTCAACATGGGTACAATGTGTGAAGCCTATTTCTGGTGTCCCCTGCCATGACATTGCTGGAATATTGCTAAAAGTTGCGTAAGACGAAACTCACTCACTCACTCACTCAAAGCGTGTTTGGCAATAGATGTTGGCAAGAGCAAATGATAGAAATTGACTGAGAGAGTGTATTTCAAGTTTTGGGGGCAGCAAAGTGCTGAAAATTTGCTATATCCGACTGTGGTGTCACATTGTTTGTGTCACAATGAGCGGCATGGAGAGATGGGTAGAACTAATCATTGCAGAGATTGCTTGGTTTTCTTTAGAGATGCCCAATTGATGCTGCACACTTCCAGTGCCTTACATATATGTTTGAGTCAAGCATATTGGTGTGAATAACCAATGTTTCAGCATATACACTGCTAAACTTTGTTTTCACAACTCAGATTGACAAACCCACACAAAACATTGGACTCAACCAATGCCACTTCACTCAATATCTACGCTAACGCCTATAATTTTGTCATGGTCGAAGTTTTAGCTAAAAAAAGTTTTTTTTTGAAAATGTAAATCCACAAGTGAAGGAAATACACAGGGGCAGTAGTTGCGTTATAAAATGGATTTGATGACAGCGGGCGAGAGAAAGACCATGTGCAGCATGCAGACAACTGAAGTAATGTAAGATTGAACAACCTTTGATCACCTGCCCTGGTGGCTCAGAGGGAAACAGTGGGTTACAATACTAAACTTGATATGTGAGGTTGTAGGTTCCAAGTTTTAGGCAAAAGTATCAGAAGTCGTCCAAGCCCAGTCGTCTAAGGCGGCGCAATTCACTGTGCAGAGTTGCACCTCTTGGGCATGTCAGAAACCAGTGATTGTGGGTCGATTCCCGGATCACCACAATTGTGTTTCTAGGTTTGTCAGCACCATACCCGTGCTTATTGGTTTCACCAAAGTGGTAAACATCTGAAACCTGCATCACTTCGGGCTTTCCTCCCACATCAAGTTGGCATGTGTGATTTTAGTGGAAACTGTTAAAACAGGCATTAAATTAAACCCCACTCACTCACTCACTCACTCACTCACTCACTCACCCACCCTAACACCCACCCACCCACCCACCCACCCACTCACTCACTCACTCACTCACTCACTCACTCACTCACTCACTCAGGGTGATGTTATTTATGGATGTTTGTTACCAGGACATGCTTTTCTGTGTGAGAAGAACATAACACTGATACATAACTGTCCTCTAGCATCATGCAGACCACATTATGCAGACAAATGATGTGTGAGCAATTAAACCCCTCGTAACCATGATAACCGCCACATTGTCTAACTTTGTGACTGAACATTTTACTACACATAACATTCAGTGACCAATGCGCTATTTGTTAATGTTCTTGATGGCAATTAAGAAAGAGCTTCTTCCAGTACCAGTTTAACTTCTGTCACAAAGTAAAGCTAAACCACCTGATGTTTCAGACATGAAGGAGGAGATTAGCCGCAATGTATCGGACCCACTCATTGATCTGTCCCGGATCAGAGACACGGCCATAGAGGAGGTAGGTATGCAACTGTCAGGCGCAGTGATCAGGCTACATCACTAGCTGCCAGATCACTCACATAATTAATATTGCTCAGATGTTGCTTATGGAATTATGTGAACTTCTGTTGTATTAAGGATGCAGCAACATCTTCCGTGAGTGTTCAAACGGGGTGGAGGGGGGGGGGGGGGGGGGCACCACAATTCACTGTTCAGAGTTACGTCCCTTAGGCATGCCAGAAACCTATGATTGTGGGTTCGAATCCCGGTTTCGCCCTGATTATGTTTCTAGGTCTGTCAGCACCATACCCATGCTCATGGGTTTCACTGAAGTGGTAAACTTTTTAAGCTGACACGCCACGATATTACTGGAATACTGTTAAAAGCGGTGTTAAACCCAACTCACTCAAAGGGGTGGTGGGGTAGTTTAGTGGTTATGCATGACCCGGGTTAAATTCCCTTCTTTGGTGCAATGTTTGAAGCCATTCTGCTGTCCTCTGTGGTGCTAATGGGCAAATATTGGGCTGAAAGTGGCATAATGACCATACTCACTCACTGTTTCCTGTACTAAAATCTAATTAGTTTAAGCCCATTGATGTATCTTTCTTGAGAATCCAGCTCTGTACCATCTTCATAACCATGGATGATGGCCTGATATCAACTCTTCGTTTTTCTCAAAACACAGATATCTTGTCATAATCAAAGGTCCCCAGGACTTCTTCCATATGCTAATGTTGACAAAGGTTTTCTGTGTTTTAAGTCTTTATGGAAAGGAACTGCTGAACTTCTTATCATGTGATACAAGTCACTGTTCAAGCTTCCTCAGTTTCCAGGGCCCATTTCTTTAACATTCACTAGCAGTCATCATGCTGTGTTCATGTTTTTAAATGAAGCCTGTGTATGTTTAAGATTTATGTTGACATTGTTTTGGCTTTTAATTGAAAAGGGTTATCGAGGAATGATTGAGGATAGTCGAAAGAGCAATAATGTCACTAACTTGTCCATGATCCGACGCTTCAACCATCACTCCACGATGGTTTTACGGGCATGTGAAGTCAGTACCAGCAGCATCTCCCTGGATGATTCCACAAAGACCAGTAATGGGGAATGCAGTGTTCAGAACGGCGGCTCTGCTGGTCCAGAGGCAGCCACACCTTCTACCAGTAAAGATTCTTCAGGAGAACCTGTCAATAAGAAGGTATGGAATATTACTTGAAATGTAGTTGACTAGTGACTATTGCACTATTTACTGTGTGATTTGGATATCATGTGTTCAAAGTCATAATGTAAGTGTAAACATTGTCATAATAGTTTTTGTGGTAGTTGAATAGCCTTGTGGCTGCCTGGTCCCTCTGAGGTTGTGTGTACAATGTGTATAGCCCACCATCTGTCAGTCACACCATCACCCGGCAGCACCATCTGTCAGTCACCCCATCACCCAGCAACACCATCTGTCAGTCACACCATCACCCAGCAACACCATCACCCGGCAACACCGTCTGAAAGTCACACCATCATCCAGCAGCACCATCTGTCAGTCACACCATCACCCAACATCACCATCTGTCAGTCACACCATCACCCGGCAACACCATCTGTCAGTCACACCATCTGTCAGTCACCCCATCACCCAGCAGCACCATCTGTCAGTCACACCATCACCCGGCAACACCATCTGTCAGTCACACCATCACCCAACATCACCATCTGTCAGTCACACCATCACCCAGCAGCACCATCTGTCAGTCACACCATCACCCGGCAACACCATCTGTCAGTCACCTAATCACCCGGCAACACCGTCTCTCAGTCAAACCATCACCAAGCAGCACTATCTGTCAGTCACACCATCACCCGGCAACACCATCTGTCAGTCACCCAATCATCTGACAACACAATCTCTCAGTCACACCATCACCCGGCAGCACCATCACCCAGCAACACACTCTGTCAGTCACACCATCTGTCAGTCACACCATCACCCGGCAACACCATCTGTCAGTCACCAAATCACCCAGCAACACCGTCTGTCAGTCACACCATCACCCAACATCACCATCTGTCAGTCAACCCATCACCCGGCAACACCATTTGTCAGTCACACCATCACCTGGCAACACCATCTGTCAGTCAAACCATCACCCGGCAACACCATTTGTCAGTCACCCCATCACCCAGCAGCACCATCTGTCAGTCACCCCATCACCAAGCAACACCATTTGTCAGTCACACCATCTGTCACTCACACCATCACCCGGCAACACCGTCTCTTCGTCACACCATCACCCGGCAACACCGTCTTTTTGTCACACCATCACCCGGCAACACCATTTGTCAGTCACACCATCTGTCACTCACACCATCACCCGGCAACACCGTCTTTTTGTCACACCATCACCCGGCAACACCATTTGACAGTCACACCATCACCCGGCAATACCGTCTTTTTGTCACACCATCACCCGGCAACACCATTTGTCAGTCACACCATCACCCGGCAACACCGTCTTTTCATCACAGCATCACCCGGCAACACCGTGTTTTCGTCACCCCATCACCTGGCAACACCGTTTTCGTCACACCATCACCCGGCAACACCGTCTTTTCGTCACGCCATCATCCGGCAACACCATTTGTCAGTCACACCATCACCCGGCAACACCATCTAACATCTCTTCCTTTTTGCAGCGGAAACTCCAGGAGAAGCTTGAGTACTCAGACCTGCAGAATGACTTGATAACAAACCATGTGAACCTGAGACTGGGGAAAATGGAGCGCTACCTGCACGGCCCCACTCCTGTCATGGCTGCTAAGTACACCACCAGTGAGAATGTGATGCAGGCGCTACATGCTGTTGGGGAGGAGATCCAGCACTGGAACCCCCAGCTCACTCAGGTGATGATTTCACCAGGGCCAGTAGTCAGTCGCTCTCGTTGGCCCATCTCATCTACTGTTGGAGTCACCCACCAGCAGGCTTTCCTTCAGCATTTCACTGTCATATCTAACTTGTGGAGTGTTGTCATGGTTGTGGTGCAGCACTTCAGTGTTTATTTCTTATATATGACTCCTATTGATTCCTATTTGATAATATAATGTGCGATGAAATGGGATAGATACCAGACTTTGTCCTTCAACCTTGATGAATGGTCTTGTAACTAGCTGTTGGATCATTTGAAGAATGTCAGTGTGGCTTTCTTGTCTGTGTGATGTGTATTATCCATCCCGCCCACTACCATGGTGTCACTGCCAGTACCTACACTGCAGGCAAACTAGTCCTGTAGACCTGCAGACCTGCAGACCTGCAGACCTGCAGACTGGCAGACATAGCTTACCTGGTTGGGCGTGCATTGACACCTGATAGAGTGGATCGGTGTTAATAATGTCAGTCAAAGCTTGATATGTACAGGCTGCCGTCATACAACTGGAATATTCCTAAATGTGATGTTAAACAACAAGTAAAGACCGACAGCTAGCTGATGTTACATCTCTACTTTGTGTACTGCAGGTACTCCCCGGGGGCCAGGCGATGAGCATACTCAGTGAACTCTCACCAGGGGGCACTCTCATGCAGGGCACCAGTCAGCAGCAGTTACACCGTATGTACACATTTCCCCGGAGTAGTAGCACTCGCTCTGTAGCAGGGCACCAGTCAGCAGCAGTTACACTGTATGTACACATTTCCCCGGAGTAGTAGCACTCGCTCTGTAGCAGGGCACCAGTCAGCAGCAGTTACACCGTATGTACACATTTCCCCGGAGTAGTAGCACTCGCTCTGTAGCAGGGCACCAGTCAGCAGCAGTTACACCGTATGTACACATTTCCCCGGAGTAGTAGCACTCGCTCTGTAGCAGGGCACCAGTCAGCAGCAGTTACACTGTATGTACACATTTCCCCGGAGTAGTAGCACTCGCTCTGTAGCAGGGCACCAGTCAGCAGCAGTTACACTGTATGTACACATTTCCCCGGAGTAGTAGCACTCGCTCTGTAGCAGGGCACCAGTCAGCAGCAGTTACACCGTATGTATACATTTCCCCGGAGTAGTAGCACTCGCTCTGTAGCAGGGCACCAGTCAGCAGCAGTTACACTGTATGTACACATTTCCCCGGAGTAGTAGCACTCGCTCTGTAGCAGGGCACCAGTCAGCAGCAGTTACACCATATGTATACATTTCCCCGGAGTAGTAGCACTCGCTCTGTAGCAGGGCACCAGTCAGCAGCAGTTACACCGTATGTACACATTTCCCCGGAGTAGTAGCACTCGCTCTGTAGCAGGGCACCAGTCAGCAGCAGTTACACCGTATGTACACATTTCCCCGGAGTAGTAGCACTCGCTCTGTAGCAGGGCACCAGTCAGCAGCAGTTACACCGTATGTACACATTTCCCTGGAGTAGTAGCACTCGCTCTGTAGCAGGGCACCAGTCAGCAGCAGTTCCATCTGTCTGTCCTTCCATCCGTTCATCCTTCTGAGGAGAAATTTGGTGAACACTATATACCTTTAGGAGAGGTGCAGTGCAAAGATTGATTTCAATATTTGGATTTTCTGAAAAAATATAGCTATTTTTGTTTTTTTACTTACAGTTTTTTTTCTTAAACATTTGTGTGACCAATAACTTGAAAACTACTTTATGGATACATTTGAAATTTGGGGAACAGTTTCCATACTAATAGAAGAGGGGCAGTGCAAAGTTTAATTTTGATATGTGTATTTTCTATATGAACATGATGAATTTTTTCAACTTTTGAATATTTTTTTACTTCAACATTTGTGTGACCTATAACTTGAAAACTACATCATGGATTCTTTTCCAATTGGGGATACAGTTAAAATACCAATATGAGAGGTGCCGTGCAAAGTTTGATTTGGATAAGTGTATTTTATTTTAAAAAATTGGCTTTTTTCATGTTTGGAACTTAGAATTGTGTTGGGAGTCAAAGTTGGGGGTATTAGTGGGCCCTGCTCACTCTATGAATCCATTGTGCCTCTCCACTGGGAGGAGAACTTCAATATGTCCCTGTTACAGACAGGTGCTTATGAATGAACCTGTGTTTTTAACAAATATCAGGCAGTAAAATTATGTACCAGTTATTATTTGTCAAGTTTATAGTTGTGAAGTATCAGTCTACCTAAGGCAGGTAAGGCGGATCTTGCATAACATAGTAACACAACTGATTCTTTGTTCATGGAATAAAGTTGCAACATCTGTTTAACCGAGATACTTCCAGACGAACATGATGAATGACAATGTATTGTTGATATTTTCATTGTTTTGACTTGGCTGAAGTGTTTTCAATCTAATTCACATGATCAAGTATCTTGGAACCTGAGGGAATTACAGAGAGTAGTAGTCTGTAAACATACTGGTTACCAAGTGAATAAACCTTTTGCTTATGACAAGTCATGATAGGATTGAATGACTTATCTGTAGGATGACAATGTCATTGTTGGTGACTGATCACCTGTCATTGATCCTCCGATGGTGTGTATCATTGCAGCTGTCAAACATACACCATGTCTCTGTTGTCTTCACACAACAAACACATATTCTGGACTGAGATTTGTATGGCAATGGTATACATGGTATTCAACAACAAAACATTGAAAGCAAGAAATGTTGTAGAGACGATCCCTGGTTCTGTGTTTCTATGGTAACACTGTGATACACTTTGTTGCAGAGATGATTCCCCGTGATGTCCAGGAGGAAATCAAACAGCAATACAACGCTCTCTGTGAACTCCTGAGACACTTCTGGACATGTTTCCCTCCATCGTCAAAGTTCATCGAGGAGAAGGTGAGTCAGACAGGCTTCTACTGCGACCATTTAGGACTTCTTGTCGATTAAGTTTAAAACTGGATTCTTATTTCTGTGTTCACCTTTGGGGTATAAGTTTTGTGTGCATAGCGCTCATTGCAAGGTTTGCCCCGGTACTTTTCTTTGTCAACACATTCCTCTGCCAGTTTGCTAATGGGTTTCACTTAAGTGGTGATGCTCTGCAACCTAGCTATTGTACTGCAACCTGAGCACTCATCTCACAGCCTGTGATATATCTTTATAACTTATCCTGCACTACTCCTGAATGCATTTACTGCTGTCTTTTGACAAAGAGATGAACTGTGTGAGATCCAGCTGCTGAAAAAAAGTTGTTCCAACCAGTAGAGGCATCACCATTTCACAGTCATGACCTCACATCAAATCACATAACTGCTTTGTCACCTCCACGGACGAAATTACTTTGTATCCCTTGTGGATATTAAAGCTTATTGTTTCTTTACTTTGTAGCTTATCTGTGCTTATCCTGGCTGTCACTTGCTGACACAGCATGCTAGGTCTTGCACTGTTGATCATATCCATGGACAACATCACCTCCACTCTCCATCCCTGCTAAACCAGACCTTCCGCTTTTTCAACATGGTGGTCAGCCTAGGCCAGTAGTTTCTCGTATAGCACTCACCAGATTGAGAGCATGTTCTGGCACAGGCTCTGTCCAGGCCACACAAGGTGGCTGCCACCGAATGGAAGCTCTACCCAGAGGTCTTCGCCAGACTTTGCCAAACAATTTACACCCCAAACATCGATCTGTTAGCCACATCTCAGAACTGCCAGCTGTCGACTTACATTTCACAGGTGCCAGTCCGGCCTCTGTTGCAGTTGATGCCTTCAGTGTTCCCTGGGAAGGATTACATGTGTATACTTTTCCCACCTCTGGTTCTCCTTCCCAGGGTTCTTCAAAAGATCCACACTACTTGGCACCTGACACTGATTTTGGTTGCACCTTGGCTTGTCGACCTCTGAAACATCACCAGAGACAACCCCCTGGAACTTCCAGCGTGGCCCAACCTTCTGCTCCACCCACACAGTCGGTAGCCACACCCAAACACTGCACTGTTTTGTCTGCACGCCTGGCACATCTGCAGAAAGCCATAGGAGCCAAGGGCTATTTGACTAGAGCGTCAATGATGATAAATGGTGCTCGTTTCAGGCATTCTGCTCAGAGAAACACCAGGATCCAATGACAGCGACACCGCATTTGCTGGCTGAGTTCCTTCTGTACTTGCGCAGCACAAGTCGGTTGAAAGGCTCTACCATCTCCAAATACCTGGTCGCCCTCAACTCTGTTCTTGCCATCCTGGACAACCGGAGAATGAAGAAAATTCCCGAACTCTAGGGCTTACTGCGCTCGTTCCATCTAGAAGACTAGAAAGTCAAATTCAGACTGATCGCGTGGGATCTGAATGGGATCTTAAAGGTTCTTCTGACGGCTCCCTTCGAACCACTCCACTTCTATTCCTTCTACGACCTAACGAAGAAGATGGTGTTTCTACTGGCCTTGGCTACTGCCACTCGGGTCAGTGAGCTCCATGCACTTGACGTCTCCCGTGCCCGGTTCAAATTAGGAGCTCATTCATCTTGCAGTTTCATCTTGGGCTGTGCCGGGACTTCATCACAACCCCCCTCCCCCCCCCCAGGACAGGCTGGTAGATCATTCGCCATCCTCCCCCTCGTCCATTGTGGGTGCCAATGATGAGCGAGCAGAAGCTTTCATTATATACATTATACCCTGTTAGAGCACTGAAGGTTTTCCTACGACAAACTAAAGGAGTCTAGGAAACGCCTTTTTCCTGTTGGTCTCCCCTTCATCACAGTCGGAGGTCAGCCGGAATCCTATTTCCCTGTGTCTCCAGGCAGTCAGCCACCGGATTGGACACCTCCCCTCCCCAGGCTAACAACCCACACGAGATCAAGGCGGTCGCATCTTCCATGGCTCTTCACAGTAACTGCTCCTTCCAGTCAATCATGGAACGCTGTTGCCAACCACTACCTCCATGATCCTGTGGTCTTCCAGAACATCCATCCAGGGAGAGGCAATGGTGTCACAGCAGCTCGGTACATTGATCAAGTCTTGAGACCACACGCCATACCTCATTTGGCACGTCGCCGCAACCACGAGTTTCAGCATGATAACGCCCGTGCCCACACTGCGAGAGCAACAAGAGACTTCTTCCAGCAGAATGGCATCAGAACCATGCAGTGGCCTGCCCTCAGTCCCAATTTAAATCCCATTGAGCACCTGTGGGACGAGATTCAAAGATAGCTGAATGACGTGCGACCAAGGCTGTGGGCCTCAGAGTGCGGGCTCTAGTGCCTTTGGCCTTCATCAACTGCCTCATCCATTCCATGTATCGACGTTGCACGGCAGTCATCAATGCACATGGTGGATACACGAGATACTGACTTGTGTCGCCATTTTCTCAGAGACTAGTGTTGTGTTTCGCTTTAAGAACATTTGACACTTTAATTTCAACCTTGATGATCAGTTTTGTCAAGTTTCATCTTTTTAAAATGTCTCAAAGTATGTTTACAGTGTTCGGACAAATAAGGTTTCTCATATATATCTATCCATGCTGACGTTTCTTTTGTGGTTCAGTATATTTCTGTCACCTATTTGGGTTTTTCCTTTTTGCATCGACTCTTGTTTCCTAAAGACAGGAATGGTCGTAGATGTTCCGATCATCACTTGTATGCGTTGGGGATTCACAGGACCTTGAGGGTTTATCATGGATCACATCTCAAGGTATGCCCACCGGTCATGCCGTCTGATAAAGATGCATTAAGGAGTAATGCAGGATAAGTTAAAAAATTAAGTAAAATCTAAATATTTGTTTACATTTGTATACTTATCCTGCATTACAACGTCTAAGTGCCCTCCCTTCGCTACCCTGCCTCCCTATGAAGTTTCAGAAGTTGTGTTTAAAGCAGATATGTGTTTTGATATGACGTCATGACTTCCGGGTCATGTGCCGACTGTGTGAGGGTGCTGCCTCTACTGGTTGGAACAAATATCTTCAGCAGCTGGATCTCACACAGTTCGTCTCTGTCAAAAGACAGCAGTAAATGCATTAAGGAGTAATGCAGGATAAGTATACAAATGTAAAAAATATTTAGATTTTACTAATATTGGCTAGTATGGTATGGTATGGTATGGTATAACACCAGGATAGTAGTCATATTTGTGTCATTGTGTTTCAGATAGGGAAAATGAGGACAACTTTAGAAAAATTCCAGCTCACCAAGCTTAACCCACTGAAGGACAAGCTAGCATCATACCATTACTCTGTGAATGTAAGTAGCAACTGGGTGATAACAGTCATCTCCACTGGCGCTGGGAGGAACCAGAACTGGAACAAGTCCCCTGCATGTGCACATGCCATGAGTTGACCTCAGTCAGAACCAGCGTGTGTTTGCTAAATGTGTCTCCAGCTACTTTTTGGTCCAAATCAAAGTCTGTACAAAGTTTGAGTGCAATATTACAGTGTGTAGGACGAGTCAGCTGGCTTCATGAGCCACATGGGGTAGGATTTCATTAGTATCACAATATCTCTGATGGTTGTACCATTAGTGCAGTCCAACAGCAATAGTGTGATGGGTATAATCACCTTCCTGAGTCTCGTAGCTTTATGATGCAGTTACAGTTACAGTCTGAAGTTACAGATATCTGTTATTGCCTTGGTTCTGCAGATTGCTGGAGTGATGATTACAGTATAATTTGAAATTGAAGTACATGTTGTGAATGGAAGCAGGATGCCTTGCAAACAAGGTGCACTTTGAATACAACTGAATGATCAAGTATATAATGTCATGGCACTGATGTCAGCTAGTGATGTGTCCACTAGTCATGTATATATTGTCATGGCACTGATGTCATCTAGTGATGTGTCCACTAGTCATGTATATATTGTCATGGCACTGATGTCATCTAGTGATGTGTCCACTAGTCATGTATATATTGTCATGACACTGATGTCATCTAGTGATGTGTCCACTAGTCATGTATATATTGTCATGACACTGATGTCAGCTAGTGATGTGTCCACTAGTCATGTATATATTGTCATGGCACTGATGTCATCTAGTGAAGTGTCCACTAGTCATGTATATATTGTCATGGCACTGATGTCAGCTAGTGATGTGTCCACTAGTCATGTATATATTGTCATGGCACTGATGTCAGCTAGTGATGTGTTCACTAGTCATGTATATATTGTCATGACACTGATGTCATCTAGTGATGTGTCCACTTGTCATGTATATATTGTTATGACACTGATGTCATCTAGTGATGTGTTCACTAGTCATGTATATATTGTCATGACACTGATGTCATCTAGTGATGTGTCCACTTGTCATGTATATATTGTCATGACACTGATGTCATCTAGTGATGTGTCCACTAGTCATGTATATATTGTCATGGCACTGATGTCATCTAGTGATGTGTTCACTAGTCATGTATATATTGTCATGGCACTAATGTGAGCTAGTAATGTGTCCACTAGTCATGTATATATTGTCATGACACTGATGTCAGCTAGTGATGTGTCCACTAGTCATGTATATATTGTCATGGCACTGATGTCAGCTAGTGATGTGTCCACTAGTCATGTATATATTGTCATGACACTGATGTCATCTAGTGATGTGTCCACTAGTCATGTATATATTGTCATGGCACTGATGTCATCTAGTGATGTGTCCACTAGTCATGTATATATTGTCATGACACTGATGTCATCTAGTGATGTGTCCACTAGTCATGTATATATTGTCATGACACTGATGTCAGCTAGTGATGTGTCCACTAGTCATGTATATATTGTCATGGCACTGATGTCAGCTAAGGATGTGTCCACTAGTCATGTATATATTGTCATGGCACTGATGTCAGCTAGTGATGTGTCCACTAGTCATGTATATATTGTCATGACACTGATGTCATCTAGTGATGTGTTCACTAGTCATGTATATATTGTCATGGCACTAATGTGAGCTAGTGATGTGTCCACTAGTCATGTATATATTGTCATGGCACTGATGTCATCTAGTGATGTGTTCACTAGTCATGTATATATTGTCATGACACTGATGTCATCTAGTGATGTGTCCACTAGTCATGTATATATTGTCATTACACTGATGTCAGCTAGTGATATGTTCACTAGACATGTATATAATGTCAGGGCATTGATGTCAGCTAGTGATGTGTCCACTAGTCATGTGTATATTGTCATGACACTGATGTCATCTAGTGATGTGTCCACTAGTCATGTATATATTGTCATGGCACTGATGTCTTCTAGTGAAGTGTCCACTAGTCATGTATATATTGTCATGGCACTGATGTCATCTAGTGATGTGTCCACTAGTCATGTATATATTGTCATGACACTGATGTCATCTAGTGATGTGTCCACTAGTCATGTATATATTGTCATGACACTGATGTCATCTAGTGATGTGTCCACTAGTCATGTATATATTGTCATGGCACTGATGTCATCTAGTGATGTGTCCACTAGTCATGTATATATTGTCATGACACTGATGTCATCTAGTGATGTGTCCACTAGTCATGTATATATTGTCATGACACTGATGTCAGCTAGTGATGTGTCCACTAGTCATGTATATATTGTCATGGCACTGATGTCAGCTAAGGATGTGTCCACTAGTCATGTATATATTGTCATGGCACTGATGTCAGCTAGTGATGTGTCCACTAGTCATGTATATATTGTCATGACACTGATGTCATCTAGTGATGTGTTCACTAGTCATGTATATATTGTCATGGCACTAATGTGAGCTAGTGATGTGTCCACTAGTCATGTATATATTGTCATGGCACTGATGTCATCTAGTGATGTGTTCACTAGTCATGTATATATTGTCATGACACTGATGTCATCTAGTGATGTGTCCACTAGTCATGTATATATTGTCATTACACTGATGTCAGCTAGTGATATGTTCACTAGACATGTATATAATGTCAGGGCATTGATGTCAGCTAGTGATGTGTCCACTAGTCATGTGTATATTGTCATGACACTGATGTCATCTAGTGATGTGTCCACTAGTCATGTATATATTGTCATGGCACTGATGTCTTCTAGTGAAGTGTCCACTAGTCATGTATATATTGTCATGGCACTGATGTCATCTAGTGATGTGTCCACTAGTCATGTATATATTGTCATGACACTGATGTCAGCTAGTGATGTGTCCACTAGTCATGTATATATTGTCATGGCACTGATGTCATCTAGTGAAGTGTCCACTAGTCATGTATATATTGTCATGGCACTGATGTCAGCTAGTGATGTGTCCACTAGTCATGTATATATTGTCATGGCACTGATGTCAGCTAGTGATGTGTCCACTAGTCATGTATATATTGTCATGGCACTGATGTCAGCTAGTGATGTGTCCACTAGTCATGTATATATTGTCATGACACTGATGTCATCTAGTGATGTGTTCACTAGTCATGTATATATTGTCATGGCACTAATGTGAGCTAGTGATGTGTCCACTAGTCATGTATATATTGTCATGGCACTGATGTCTTCTAGTGGTGTGTTCACTAGTCATGTATATATTGTCATGACACTGATGTCATCTAGTGAAGTGTCCACTAGTCATGTATATATTGTCATGACACTGATGTCAGCTAGTGATATGTTCACTAGACATGTATATAATGTCAGGGCATTGATGTCAGCTAGTGATGTGTCCACTAGTCATGTATATATTGTCATGACACTGATGTCATCTAGTGATGTGTCCACTAGTCATGTATATATTGTCATGACACTGATGTCATCTAGTGATGTGTCCACTAGTCATGTATATATTGTCATGACACTGATGTCAGCTAGTGATGTGTCCACTAGTCATGTATATATTGTCATGACACTGATGTCATCTAGTGATGTGTTCACTAGTCATGTATATATTGTCATGACACTGATGTCATCTAGTGATGTGTCCACTAGTCATGTATATATTGTCATGACACTGATGTCATCTAGTGATGTGTTCACTAGACATGTATATAATGTCAGGGCATTGATGTCAGCTAGTGATGTGTCCACTAGTCATGTATATATTGTCATGGCACTGATGTCATCTAGTGATGTGTCCACTAGTCATGTATATATTATCATGGCACTGATGTCATCTAGTGATGTGTCCACTAGTCATGTATATATTGTCATGACACTGATGTCATCTAGTGATGTGTCCACTTGTCATGTATATATTGTCATGACACTGATGTCATCTAGTGATGTGTTCACTAGTCATGTATATATTGTCATGACACTGATGTCAGCTAGTGATGTGTTCACTAGTCATGTATATATTGTCATGACACTGATGTCAGCTAGTGATGTGTTCACTAGTCATGTATATATTGTCATGACACTGATGTCAGCTAGTGATGTGTCCACTAGTCATGTATATATTGTCATGGCACTGATGTCATCTAGTGATGTGTCCACTAGTCATGTATATATTGTCATGGCACTGATGTCATCTAGTGATGTGTCCACTAGTCATGTATATATTGTCATGACACTGATGTCATCTAGTGATGTGTTCACTAGTCATGTATATATTGTCATGGCACTAATGTGAGCTAGTGATGTGTCCTCTAGTCATGTATATATTGTCATGACACTGATGTCATCTAGTGATGTGTTCATTAGTCATGTATATAATGTCATGACACCTTAAGTCAGCTTGTGATGTGACCCGTGAAGATCTTGGATAGAATAGGTCTTCAGCAACCCATGCTTGCCGTAAAAGGCGACTATGCTTGTCGTAAAAGGCGACTAACAGGATCAGGTGGTAAGGCTTGCTGACTTGGTTGATGCATATCATCGATCCCAATTGTGTGGATCGATGCTCATGATGTCAGTCACTGGATTCTCTGGTCCAGACTTTGATTATTTTACAGACCGCTATCATATAGCTGGAATATTGCTGAGTGAGGCATTAAACAACAAACAAAAACCCAACTACAGTTAGTTTGTTTGAATCTACCCAACTACTGTTAGTTTCTGTGAATTACTGTTGGTTTGCTTTCTGTAATGTAATCCTCACTGACCTTGACCTGTTTGTCTCCCCAGCTGTGCGGGCACATGGAGGAGATGCTACAGGCTGCCTACAACAAGTTTGATGCCTGGCAGGCCAAGAAGCTGAGTCGCAGATGAGACGGACTTCTTCTGCCTTGTTTACGGCTTTTATTTGGTGCTAATGTCAGACAGTGCAAACTGCATCCATCAAGACCTGCCCAGGGTCAGAGCAGAGTGGACCGTGAATCATATACATTGACAGCACTCGGTGCTATAGTCCACCATTGTGTGCACTGTGTAGTGCTCCTCATCACCACTGTGTGGGTAACACAGTTGTAGGAAAGAGGTGGAACTTTCTGTGGATATCAGCATGATTGGAAAGATATCAGTATTTATTTGTGACAGAAGACATGAGGACATGTGCTGTGATGAGAATTGGCGAAAACCCGATTTTGTGCCTTGGACAATTGGTGGTCTTTTCGAGGCTTGTATGAACAGCTGTGCAGAGCTGTATGGTTGGTGTGCCAGGTCTGAGTTTCCCCCATGTAAACCGCTCAAATCCCCACCGACAAGTAGGGCACTGGAGGAAAAGATGGAGGAAATTGACTCCATGGTTAAAAGGTGAAGATGAAGAAATTTGCAAGGAGACATGAGAAACGAGACACGCTGTGGTGTGTTGAAACAGAGACTCCAGCTTGAAGAGTCATCACTTGTTTTGTGTAACCATAGTGATGGTGACTGGTGAGAAGGAAGCCTGGGGTTGGTGGAGCTCACTCTGTATCCAGTATTATCATAGCACCAGAAACGTGGAGTCGCTCCTTCACAGGCGTACCACAAAATGACATCGTACAGGGATGCTTCATACTGATAGAAGCGTGTTGAGGTGTACAAGGGCTTTGCAGTGTGCACTAGATTAGCAGAGTTGATGGAGAAACATAGCCTGATGTATCAGTTGATCCTGCAGAATCATCTTCTGTCCCTACAGAGTAAAACTACATAGTCTACGGCTGGTATTGGTAGCAGAATGTTTGGTTCATGAGTCTCTTCAAAGAAGTGAAAATATGACAATGATCATGTGTCTATTTTTCATAAGATTTTAAAAGTATTTTCAACTCCTGAAGTTAGATCATGATTCATATTGAGTATGATCAAGATCATATAAGGTCAAGTAGGTTTGGCCAAAAATGTCCCATTAGCAATAAGCGATATGACATCACAATGCTTTGTTGTTGAGAAAAATACAATATGACCATGATGACATCACAATTTGACATCATGATGTCATTTAAACAATAGGCTAACATCAGTGGAGTTTCTCTGTAGGGTTCATATTTTATGTTTTCTTACTTTTCTTTCTTTAAGTGACAATGAGTAATAAATAGAGTTACCAACTGGGAATTATAGATGTCCTGTCCCTTGTGAATGAATGATGTAAGTGGCCATGGATTGGCTTTTATTCCAATGGGAGGGATATTGTGGAATTCCTTGTAAGCTGTAACTGATTGGATAATATTGTGCTTATGTTCAATATGTGCACAGAGGTAGATATTCCAGCTGCTATATGTTGTTCTTGCTTGTAGAAATACTGTTTGTAAGTAAGCACTGTATGCCAGGAGTCCAAAAGTCACCATTTTTGTGAGTATTAATTACTGATGATTTGTGAATGTGATATGTCTTCAAACATACACACCACCCTGGACAGTGTAGTAGGACATGCCTGGACAACATTGCACAATTAACAGTAGGGAAAAGTATAGTTTTCTCCCAGTTGTTAGTTTAGGCTTTATGAGACGTCTGTAGCTGTTTTTATGGACCAAAGAAATGACATATTGACTGAGGACAAATTAAGTCTGAGGTCAGTCATTTTCCTGTCCATAAAAACAAGTATTGACCTCCTGTAAAGTTTATAATTGTTTTATTGTATAACAGAGACAATAACAATATAGAACAATATATAACAATATATACTCATCCTTTGAATTTGGTTGTTGGAATAATTTAGTGCATTTCTTGAGAAGACAAAAATGAGAGGAATGTCCCTATTATCCAACATGACCTAACTTGACAGCTGCTTGGTGTGTGTATGATCATGCATATAGTTTCCATAACTTGATAATAAAATCAACTCGATGCCCTTGTTGTAAGGTCATATTAAGATGAAACATCATGAAGAATACCTTGTATGTCCTACATTCTACCCAAGCAAGTCGCCATCCTGCAGATTGTTGGGGTGCTCGGCACTACATATGTATAATGCAGTAAACATATCACCGTGGAGATCGCAAGGTCAGTAATCTTCAGTGCGGACAGATTCTCACTCTCCATCCAATATATTAATATGCGAATAAAATGCTAACGCCATGGCTGCGCTAGCTACAGTAGCATTAGGTGGTTCCAGCAGACAGGTTTGGAGAATACCACCTCATGTAATTTCCATTCTATTTTTAGTAACTCTAATCAATACCTTAAATTATCAGACCTGACATGGGGTCAAGAATTGTTTCTGTTGAATGACTCCTGACTGCAACTAGGCCAATTGATATGGTGGAAACTTTGTATTATGTGATAATTTTAATTACGTTTTTCATTTAAAAACATATTATCATTTTTATTGACACAACAATTAATGAGGATCAGTCATGTGGTCATGACAGAAAATAGGCAACAACGGTATAGATAGGAATTCACTGGCCACAATGGTGGGAGGGCATAGCTAATAGTTTGGACCAGCTGGGAAGTCCTGACTTCACCTCTCATCTGGCTGTCACTGTAATCAGGTGCTGTATTGGATCAGGTGTAATCAGACTGCTAATATTAACAGTTGCCGAGTACAATAGTAATGAGCAGAAGAACTGCAATAATTTCATGGTTCTGTAATTGAATAAAAAATTGTAGAATTCTTTTCACATTTTGCTCAAATCTTCTAATAGAATATAAATATTACAGATCCACTTGTAGGATATTAATGTTAATAAACTGCAACAGCTCCATTTGTCTATTAACATTGGTTGATGCGGAGATCCATACTGTTTGAGATGTACGACTGGGCTAGACAGTGGGAATGACCCTGCACCATTTACATATATTCTTTGCTTCCACCTTTTCCACATTATCTTTCATCACCACGCAAGGCTGTAGGAAATTGGCACCCTCTTCTTCGGGCCCTATTTTCTTTTGTAGCTTGAGGTCTTGAGGCACCGACAAATAGTCCATTCTGAAACTTCAGGTGAATCTTCACGTGTAGCCTTTATAGTATTGCTACCTGTTTCACTGACCAGTTAGGGTATAGCGACGCAAGTCATTCACATTGAAAGTCAGCCGAATTCCACTTCCCAGCATATCCTCAGCATCTTCAAATGCTTTAAATTTCTACAAGCTTAAACTTTAACTGTAAAGCGATGCTCTATGTAGCAAGCTTTTGAAGCTTTCCTACTGATCGGGGACCTGATTCAGATACTACTGATAGCCTATATTTCCTGTATACTTTGTTCATTGTCACCTTCGTGTCCAGTAGTACTGTCACAATTCTGTTTAAGGGAGATCATCAAATAATTTCAAAAGAGGACATTTTGCACCACTACATGCATGTATGTAGTTACATGATCGAGTCTAAAGTGAAATACATTTGTCGTATTTTTCTGTTTGGTGCTATGCTATTTCAAGCTTCAGTGGTATGGCTGACCACTGCTGATTCAGGTATTGGGCAACATTTCATTGCCGACTTATCATTTGTGTGAAAACCTAAAATGATTTGCTAGGAATTGGAAGTGTTTGTAGTAAGAGTCCTCAGGTTTGAGGTTGCCAATCTGTATGTGTCTTCTGGAGAAGGGTTCGGAACCCATTGTTTGAACTGTGATATTGCTGCTGCTGCTGCTGTCGTCATCCAGGCATACCCTACATACTGGCAGACAGGGACACATTAGTTTATACCTTTGTACTATTTGTACAATGAGACGGTGAACAGTTGGAATCAAGATCACATCTTAGTTTCCTGAAGACTTATAACAATGAATATCATTACAAGTTACCAAATCAACATTATGGACATCATTGTGTGAGAATGAGTATTTAACTAAATCTCTATAAAGTTTTTGTTGTTAGCTGTATTTAACATGTTCAGTGATGTTGGACATGTTTACTTAATATATATGTGACATATGACTGTAGTTACACCAAGGTCAGGTAGTTACTGCAGAGAAATGCCACTGCTGTAAGCATGGTCATGCAATCCATTGTTGAGGCCCCACTCACATCGTTCCAAGACAAAGATACACATATGATACACATATGATATGGTAATGACTAGAAATAATACCTCGGGTGGTCTAGTGGTTAAACACTTAGCAGCTTTAATTGCTGGTAGGGAACACTGTATAAAGCCCATTGCTGTCGGTCTCCATTGGGATATTTCTGGAGTGGCATCAGATCATAATTCTGCAGTCACTTGGTGCATGTTAGTGACAAGATGGAGCAGTGGTCCAAGGGGCCATAACTGGAGGAGCAGATTGTTGGCATCTAGATTTACCTGATCTGCTTGCACTTTCTGACCTGGTTTGTTTGTGGCTCCTGTAATATGTTAACAGGCCATGATATTATCTGAGGACTTGGCGAAGAGTTCATTGGTCCGATGAGAGCAGGTTCCTGCTCCATATCAAGGATGACCGATTGAGGGTTTGGAGGCATAAAATATGACCAGAAATCGGAGAGAAATCGAGTAAATACTTTCTAGGACAAAGATACACATATGATATGGTAATGACTAGAAATAATACCTCGGGTGGTCTAGTGGTTAAACACTTAGCAGCTTTAATTGCTGGTAGGGAACACTGTATAAAGCCCATTGCTGTCGGTCTCCATTGGGATATTTCTGGAGTGGCATCAGATCATAATTCTGCAGTCACTTGGTGCATGTTAGTGACAAGATGGAGCAGTGGTCCAAGGGGCCATAACTGGAGGAGCAGATTGTTGGCATCTAGATTTACCTGATCTGCTTGCACTTTCTGACCTGGTTTGTTTGTGGCTCCTGTAATATGTTAACAGGCCATGATATTATGCTACTGACAGCTGGAGAGCACGAGTTCCTCCCTATGCTGCAGTGTCTACAGGCATGTATGGGGGAAAATTTGTTAAATGCTGTCCATCTATTATGACTGGCAATAGATCGTATCTCATGTTCATGTTGTTTGTTGAAACTTTGTTTACATTATCATCAATCATGACATTAATAAAATCCTATGTATCAAACGATATTTTCCTTTTCTAAATTTGTGTGGGTGCATGTAATCCCAAGTTAAAAGTGAATAGTATTTCGGTGGGTGACTACAATCCAATGCATGATGAGGCTGCTTGCCCTCCTGTCAGATCTTGCTGACTATTCACTGTTTTGTCTCATCTAAGGGTTTCACCGTGCAATTCTGTTCGTTGGCCATACTGAGATCTGCTAACAATGACTATTTCTAACACACACAGGGTTTAGTCTTCATAATTCTTGCAAATGTACACAAAAACAATAGTTAAGCACCCCTGGAAACAATTAAGACTGAAATATCCCCATTCGCAACAACTGCTAATGTCTTGATAACTGTCAAGAATGGTGTTCTGTCGAAAGGATAGGAAAGTACAATGGCAACTGGGATGTCACATCGCAGCACGACACACGTGCAGTATGAATTTTTCAACATGCAGTATCTGTACACCACAACTGTGGGTATTTAACACCACTGTCTTGCATTGTTGAAGCATTATCTGTGAACATGACACGGAGAAGGTTATCAGGCGCAAAGATGGGTATTACTGGTATGCATCGGGCAGGCATGACCTACTAAAGCTTATGACGTCAACTAAGGTATTATTATACGGTAATCAGCAGACAGGTACGAAAACACTGGCTAACCAATGATGTACAGGATCACCAACGGTCAGGAAGACCTCGCGTGAGGATATGGCCCTCATTCGGCTTGTACGTTGTCAACCATTTGCAAATGAAGTCCACACGGGTAATCAAGCGTCCTTTCCATGCCGATCATCATCGAAGAATTCGTTTAGCATGGTGTTTGGCCCGGATAGCTTGGAATCTGAGGACTTGGCGAAGAGTTCATTGGTCCGATGAGAGCAGGTTCCTGCTCCATATCAAGGATGACCGATTGAGGGTTTGGAGGCATAAAATATGACCAGAAATCGGAGAGAAATCGAGTAAATACTTTCTAGGACTAGAGTCTAGAAATTACCTTAAATTGACAAGCCGTATGTAAGATTCTGTGGGAAGGGAAATTGATAAACAGGATAATATACTAGAAGAACTTCAAAGATACTATAAATTGCTGTATACTAAGCATGAAATGAGTACAATAAACTTAGGTATGTTGTTAGGTAAATACGACATACCAACACTTCATTCTGGAATTTCACAAGGGCTAGAAGGTGAGTTAACGTATGATGAAGTTTTAGCAGCAGTTAGAAATCTAAGGAATAATAAAAGTCTAGGCCCAGATGGATTTACATCTGAATTTATTAAATTCTTTCGGTACGATGTTGGACAGGACCTTATTCGCTCATTAAACTATGCCTATAGGACAGGACAACTTTCAACATCTCACAAACAAGGCTTAATTACTTGTAGCCCTAAGGGTAAAAAAACCAAAAGAGTTCCTTAAAAATTGGCGTTCCATATCGCTTCTTTCAATATTCTATAAAATTGGATCAATGGCAATCTTGCACATAATTAAAACCGTGCTTTATACACTAATAAGCGAGGACGTCTGGGCGATGTATTGGAGAAATCATAAGACAAATATATGACTTATCAAGATATTAAGTCTTTGTGAAAGCCTTCGACACTGTCGATTGGTCCTTTAATCAAGCAGTATTAGATTTTTTGGCTTTGGCAATTCAATTAAAAGTTGGATCAGCACGTTCTACAATAGTATTCAGCCATGAGTTCTGGTTAATGGATTTGGTACATCATTTCTTTTAAAATATCTAAAGAAATACTGGCAATATTGAAACTAAATGAACCACACATCAAGGGAATACAAATAGGAAATATTGAGTATTCACTATCACAGTTCGCTGATGATACCACCAGTGTTCCTGCTGGCTCCGAGAGATCCCTCGACGCAGTAATGCAGATCTGACCTTTTGTGCACGTTTATCCAGGTTAAGAATTAACACTGACAAAACGAGAATGATATGGATAGGAAAAAAATATATAAAATGAAACTATGTCAACAATGGACGCTAGATAGGAGACAAGAACCATTGAAACTGTTGGGTGTGCAATTCCACACAGACCTTCAAGATATGAGTAGTATAGTCTAAGTGAGCAGGAACCTTTTTTTGTTGAGGGAGGTTGAGGGAAAATAGGGAAGGTGATTGGCTGATCCAAGTCACGTGATCGAATAGGATGACTCATGCATCAACAGCGCGTCACAGGTGAGGGGGAATGAAAGGTGTGTGTTTATAAGGCAGAAAAGAATTCATAAGAAAACAAAAGTAAAGGGTTATGAATAGAGCTATGTGTATAGCGTGCTGCCCTAAATAGACAGACCGTACCCGTCAGCCCAGTTTGAATTGAGCGCGCTTGACCACTCACGTTGCCTCGTCGTTATAAATAACCCGCGCTCGCTCGAGCGTGCGACCTGATTTGATGAATACAGGGTTGTGTTGAAAGTACATCATACCACAATAGAGACGGGTTGTGTCAACATAA